GTATGTCTGTTAAAAAGGTGACAGCTAACCTCAAACAGCCACAGTCCTTCTTGGCCAACAGAAGGGACAGAAGAACAGTTATCTCCTGCGATGATGGTGTCCATCATTAGGCAGCTAATTAACACATTTTGACTTGTACCTACTACCACCAAGTGAAATCACAGGAAAAAGAAACAAAGCAACTATCTCACAATTCAGAAAACTTAGAGGTTACAACCAGCCACTATCAAACATAATTATGTAGTTTAATTCGTGTCCTTCTCAGGCCTACACCTCAAAGTTGTTAAGAACAAATTAAGTAGACTAGAGCACTGTAGCCAGCAACCAGGACATATTATTACAGTCATACTCAACTCTGATTTCATGATCAACACAAGAATCCATCCGAAAACAAAACAACCTCCCAGTCATCGGGGATTAACTGATATTAAAATGAACAAAGCAGCCCTCAGCCTGAAGGGCCGCTTCGGAAATCAACGAAGAGACTAACGGCAGAATAATTTGGAAGAATTCACCATTTGGGATAAGCAAAGGACTGAATTCTAAGTATAATGATTTCTAGGCTAATTGCAAAGCTCAGCTCCCTTCCTCAACCCCCATCATTTCAGAAATTACTGAGGTGATGCAACAGAAAGATTTTATTTTCATTTAGTTGTTTGCTTCATTTAGTTGTTGATTTATTGCCATTTAGTTGTTTGCTCCTGTGGAATTACATTGAATCTAGGCTATTGTTTGAACGACATTTTGTATCATTAAAGTAACATTCAAGGAAGCCCCTAAAAACAACTTTAGTTTTGTCCAAGTCAAAATAACAAGTCTTTATAAACAGAAGTGGCTTCTCAGTTCAATAACATTTCTACTACTGAAGAATATAACAACATAGTTATTTGCCCACATATACTTTGCATAAAACATCAAGAGAACTAGTCATTAGACAAATTACAATAATTTGTGAAATGAAAAACCAGACACACTGACCTATTAAAAAATGAGCACTGTCATGCCCGTCATTTCAGCCTCTCTATTAGCTCAGTTTTAGTGTAGGAGAAGGAGTTATATTAAATGATGAAAAATGTATATGTGTACACACTTGTTTGAGACGTGTTGTCCCAAACCCTTCAAGTACAGGTAACAGGAAACAACATAAAACCCATTTTGATTACCATAAAACAGGCTTTTTCAGACATTCATCTTCAGACATCTGCTGAAGCGATGCCGATAATGTTAAGCTTTTTTTTTTTCATTTCGTCTCGATGAAAGGTAAAGCACGTGTATGTCTGTTAAATAGGTGACAGCTAACCTCAAACAGCCACAGTCCTTCTTGGCCAACAGAAGTGACAGAAGAACAGTTATCTCCTCCTGTGATTTGGTGTCCATCATTAGGCAGCTAATTAACGCATTTTGACTTGTACCTACTACTACCAAGTGAAATCACAGGAAAAAGAAACAAAGCAACTATCTCACAATTCAGAAAACTTAGAGGTTACAACCAGCCACTATCAAACATAATTATGTAGTTTAATTCGTGTCCTTCTCAGGCCTACACCTCAAAGTTGTTAAGAACAAATTAAGTAGACTAGAGCACTGTAGCCAGCAACCAGGACATGTTATTACAGTCATACTCAACTCTGATTTCATGATCAACACAAGAATCCATCTGAAAACAAAACAACCTCCCAGTCATCGGGGATTAACTGATATTAAAATGAACAAAGCAGCCCTCAGCCTGAAGGGCCGCTTCGGAAATCAACGAAGAGACTAACGGCAGAACAATTTGGAAGAATTCACCATTTGGGATAAGCAAAGGACTGAATTCTAAGTATAATGATTTCTAGGCTAATTGCAAAGCTCAGCTCCCTTCCTCAACCCCCATCATTTCAGAAATTACTGAGGTGATGCAACAGAAAGATTTTATTTTCATTTAGTTGTTTGCTTCATTTAGTTGTTGATTTATTGCCATTTAGTCGTTTGCTCCTGTGGAATTACATTGATTCTAGGCTATTGTTTGAATGACATTTTGTATCATTAAAGTAACATTCAAGGAAGCCCCTAAAAACAACTTTAGTTTTGTCCAAGTCAAAATAACAAGTCTTTATAAACAGAAGTGGCTTCTCAGTTCAATAACATTTCTACTACTGAAGAATATAACAACATAGTTATTTGCCCACATATACTTTGCATAAAACATCAAGAGAACTAGTCATTAGACAAATTACAATAATTTGTGAAATGAAAAACCAGACACACTGACCTATTAAAAAATGAGCACTGTCATGCCCGTCATTTCAGCCTCTCTATTAGCTCAGTTTTAGTGTAGGAGAAGGAGTTATATTAAATGATGAAAAATGTATATGTGTACACACTTGTTTGAGACGTGTTGTCCCAAACCCTTCAAGTACAGGTAACAGGAAACATAAAACCCATTTTGATTACCATAAAACAGTACATCAAATGAGTAGAAACCAACACTTCATATGATCCCAAACGTTGGCTGGGAGATCGATGATAAACAGTCAGAAGGCATGAAATATTTACAATCAAGTAACACTTCGGGAAAGGGGAGCTGAGGGATTTAGAAGAGAAAATACCCAACTGGGAGGTACGAGAATGGGATACACAACTGCATCATTTTAGCTGGCAAAAAGGAACCTTATACCTCTAACTACCCTCTATATTTTGGCCTCATATGCTGTGTAACAGCGTAAGCACTGCAGAATTTATCATCCTTCTTGGTCTAGATTGCTTGCAAAAGCTAAGTCTTGAAACAACTATTAGAATGAAAAGCAGCTTAATAAAGTCTTTTTGCTGTAGTTGAGACAGCACTAGTAAGGTTATCTACAGCCTCTCCTCTACACAAGAGAAAGTAAACCTGGCACAGAAGCGCTCTCTCTTGTTACACGGGTAATCTTTAAAGTTTAATGAGGACAAAAGAACTCTATTTGGTTACAAGAACACAAAAGTCTCTTGAACTCTTTCAAAACAGAAACTCCCTCTGTGTGTGTCCCAGAGTTACACTGATCAATTTGCTGTAGAGCCCGTCTAGAATATATTACAGGCACAAAGTTTTCCATCAATGCTTTAAACCCTCTATGTCATCCTGCTCTTCAAACAAATGAGACGATAAATATGTTGTCTAAATTATGTGTTCATCTGAATGGTACCCTAGGATTCCAAGTTCTCCAAGCTAAAAAATTCTGTACGTTAAGAAATGCTAAAGAGGATGACCCAAATTCCAAAGTTCAGAGGGAAAAAACCTAACATTTTCACAATAAACTAGTACTCAACAAGAATGAATAATACCAATATAACATGTGCTTGATTTGGCTGAGGTAGAGCTCATTTTCTTCTTAGCAGCTTGTATGGGGCTATGTTTTGGATTTGTGCTGGAAACAGTGTCAGTAACACGGGGATGTTTCAGTTATTGCTGAGCAGGGCTTACAGAGTCAAGGCCTTTTCTGCTCCTCACGTGGCCCTACCAGTGATGGGCTGGGGGCATGAGAACCTGGGAGGGGACACGGCTGGTACAAGTGAAAACAACTGACCAAAAGGCTGTTCCATACCATGGGATGTCACATTCAGCATATAAAGCTGGGAGGAGGAGGAGGAGGAGGAATGGGAGGATGTTGGGAGTGATGGTCTTTGTCTTCCCAAATAACCATTACTCGTGATTGAGCCCTATTTTCCTGGCAATGGCCGAACACCCACCTGCCCATGGGAAGCAGGGAATGAATTCCTTGTTTCGCTTTGCTTATGTGTGTGGCTTTTGCTCTACCTATAAACCATCTTTATCTTAAACCACAAGCTTTGTTTTTTCGGGTTTTTTTCACTTTTACTCTTCCAGTGTGGGGGAGCGAGTGGCTGCATGGTTCTAGCTGCTGGCTGGGGTTAAACCACAACAGCACACTAAGAACACCGGATGTCTTATATATGTAGAAATCCTGAAAAGTAGCCTGATTAAGAGCTACACATTTGTTGGTTGGGTGTTTTGGTTGTGTTTCCTTAAAGTCAACAAGTTTTTGTATGTAACAGAGAACAAAAAACCAGGTTTTTCTCGTTAGGAATTGCATTTACACAGACAGCAGTCAAGTTGAGAATGACTATCAAGGAGCAGCAATTAGGCAGAGAAAACACCCAAATAATTAAAATGGCTAGAGGCTGAATCACGATTAGAAAAAAAGACTTATTGACTTTTAAGCATAAACATTTGATTCTTTTCCATCTCTGTATTTGAACGATCTTCAGCTGGGAGGAGGAGGAGGAGGAGGAATGGGAGGATGTTGGGAGTGATGGTCTTTGTCTTCCCAAATAACCATTACTCGTGATTGAGCCCTCTTTTCCTGGCAATGGCCGAACACCCACCTGCCCATGGGAAGCAGGGAATTAATTCCTTGTTTCGCTTTGCTTATGTGTGTGGCTTTTGCTCTACCTATAAACCATCTTTATCTTAAACCACAAGCTTTGTTTTTTCGGGTTTTTTTCACTTTTACTCTTCCAGTGTGGGGTCTTTATCTTAAACCACAAGCTTTGTTTTTTTGTGTTTTTTTCACTTTTACTCTTCCACTGTGGGGGAGCAAGCGAGTGGCTGCGTGGTTCTAGCTGGTGGCTGGGGTTAAACCACAACAGCACACTAAGAACACCGGATGTCTTATATATGTAGAAATCCTGAAAAGTAGCCTGATTAAGAGCTACACATTTGTTGGTTGGGTGTTTTGGTTGTGTTTCCTTAAAGTCAACAAGTTTTTGTATGTAACAGAGAACAAAAAACCAGGTTTTTCTCGTTAGGAATTGCATTTACACAGACAGCAGTCAAGTTGAGAATGACTATCAAGGAGCAGCAATTAGGCAGAGAAAACACCCAAATAATTAAAATGGCTAGAGGCTGAATCACGATTAGAAAAAAAGACTTATTGACTTTTAAGCATAAACATTTGATTCTTTTCCATCTCTGTATTTGAACGATCTTCAAAAAAAAAAAAAAAAGAAAAGTTAAAGATTCTTACCAGCTTCCTGTGAATTTAATACTTCTAAGGCATGCATCATGGCACTTGCGAAGACGTTGGCATCTTCTTTGCTGCCAAAATTTAGACCATACACCTGCCTAGCATCACGCCACTGGTGGAAGGTCTGTGTAGCCTGATTGTACTTCAGCCCTTTCGGAATGGCACAATTTATTACCACCTATAATCATAAAAAAAAAAAAAAATTGCTTATGTTTAAAATTGTTATTTCATCACAAGTTTCAGCTTCATGTAGATTTTATTCCCTAACCATGTGGGTTAATTCCAGTCCCACAATCCACAAAATGACAATGTTGAAGCACAAAGCCATTTTGGTTTTAATCCCAATGCCATACGAAATCAGTGATGAGAATATGAGGGGACTGATGAGATATTCTGCACCAACTTTTGTAGCCTATGTGTTTTTATTTCAAAAGATGCAGAGATGTTTCATAACAGCAATTTAGTAGCATCAACAGTTCTGACCTTTACCAGCAGACTACTTGGTGTGAATATGCATTTGGATGTCAGAAGCCCAAGTTTTCCATTAACTTGTTAGAATTATGTTTCTTAACCAAGTTATCACTTTCTGTGGCTGCTGTGCCCCTTTGCTTGATGTGGCTTCAGTAGCAGTTATGCAGACTTCTACTACACATCACAAGGTATCACTTTGCAATATTATTAGAGCTTACACTAAAAGTGATCAATTCTAACTAGTAGGACAACCATTTATTACAAGCCATTTGCTAAGAGGAAGCCACTTGGACAAACAGATCCTCTCACCTTTTTCCACTGAATAAAGGGAGGGAAGAAAAAAGAAAAAGATTTGTTCTCAGATGAATGCACAAAGATCATTTATTCTTGGAAAAAGCGTTTACTGACAAATCACACAGGACATTATCAGTCTATGCTTTGGGTGTGACAAATGACCAAGAACAGACCAAAAGAATTTTATGAAATGCTGGGAGAGAGGGAAATAGATACAGAAGTTTTTCCTCAAACAAAAAGACTAGATCTTTAACCCCCTTAAGAGAACACAAGGAATATCACCTTGGACATCTATGAAGTTCTTTGTTTATGGGGGAAAAGCTACTCCCATTCAAAATAAAAGTAAATTTATAATTTACAGTTCCCCTAACTTTATTGAAGACCCATGTCTTAATACTAAAAACAATAATGAAAATATCTTGATTCCTATTCCAAATTTCCAGATATTTGCTTACCTGATGATCCTGAATCTTCCTGCCCACTACTCTGAATGTGTTGTTGCCTGTGTGATGATATATATGAACTCTGCTGAATCCAGTCGATCCACCAGCCGGTACCCATTTTTTATTGGCATCGTCGTAGACCATTACAGCAGCTCGTGCTTGGCAGATACTCTGTTCACTGTAACAATACAAGTTTTTAGAGTTGAATATAAAATTACTTATGAAAAATTATCATTTTAAAGGTTTAAAACACTCCTTGCAACCTGCTGAAACATCCACCTTTCCAAATGCAAAACCACCAGCACTTTGACTTCTGCTTCAAGGTGTTCATTCTGAAAAGCTGTGGTCAAGACAAACAGGCCTCACCACTAATGAAAGATCAAGAAAAAATTTACTTTTTGGCTTGGTTTTGGTGTTTTTTGTTTTGGTTTTTTTTTTTTCCTTTTTTGGGGGGCTTCTGGGGGTGGTTTTTTTGCACTTTTTCCCACTGCACGTTTCCCCCAGCCCTGCCCTTTCTCCTCACCACCAACCGTGAAGCTGAATTAAACGTTATAACCATATATAAAGTTTTCCACAAAGACTGGAGAACAAAGATTCTGGAGTTGCAGTCGCATAATACAGTTTACATTTTCCAACAAGAGATAAGGACTGGAAGGCATTTGCTCCTTTTAGCATATTTAGAAGAACACACACACGCGATATAGTTCAGCACAAAAAATTCACCTGCCCATAAACGAAATGCTTTTTGGCTTTGACATATTTTACAACAGTTGACACCTAGATGTAACATTTTCTCACTGAGAAAAGGTTCTATTGATTACTGAAAACCACAATTTCATCTGCAGCTAATCCTGATTATGGCAGTCACCTGGAAGCTAAGGCACAGCCTAAAGTTAAAAGGGAGCATGTCACTAATGTCATCGTATTAGAAAGGCAAGAAAGCAGAACATACCATAAACACACTATTTATTAGGAGAAGAGAGGGCGACACTATGCAAGTTGTCTTTACGGGAAATGTCCAGATGCAGACAGGAAATAAAAATAGAAAGGAATGATTTCTTATCAGTAAGTGAAATTCTCTGAACATACCACTCCAGCACATCCAACATTATAGGAAGCACATGATGCCTGGCGTGCAAGGAATGCAGTCTGCCATGTGGAAAACTGAGACGGCCGAAGAGACACGCATTCTTCAAAAGTTACCAAAGGAAAGTAATGAAATATTTCTTCATGTTTTATGAAGGAGGGAGAAGATGACTCCCCCACAGGCTTTCTTGGGGTTTTTTGTGGGTTGGTTTTGGGAGGTTTGGGGGTTTTTTGTTGGAGTTTCTCTAAAAGATCGTGCTGTATTTCCCAATATCTTATTTCCGTCCCCCAGCACAAGAAAAGTCAGTATCCAGCTGTTTTGTTAACTTTCAATACTGACGTTTTTGAGAAACCAGAGCATCAATTTCTGTCACGCTTTCCATAGCACTCGAACAATTAGAAAAGCGCTCAACAATTGGGATGCTTTTCAAGACTAGGGGGGAAGAGAGAAAACTGAGATCGTGTCTCATATGCATGCAAGAGATTCGAGATCAGACGAGGAAATATATTCTTAATTTTTGAAACGCACGTGTTCAACAACTAGACTGTTATGGGCTAACAACCTCGAATCAGACCACCCTTTCCATAGCCAGAAATTAGTTCAATATAGGGAGAGTAAAATTATAATATACACCTATACAATGCTTCATTTCTAAGCGTAGTTCATTTTATAGTTTAGAATTTAGACCGAAAGGACCACATCTGATCCGAGACGAAAAAATAGCTGCCAAGAAAACAAAATTAGTTACAAATTTCAGGTGTTTCACAACCCCATTAAAAGGTAAGTAAGAGAGGAGGACAATGAGAGAACCTACTGCATTTCTTTACTTTTAGACTATTTTGGCACAGAACTATCTTAAAGTTCAAACCTAGAAACATTCTGTACTGCTCACAAGGTACAGAACAAACAGAAGTGTTTTTTTTTCTAAAATGAGTAACAGTATTACAGGAAACTTCTGTAAAATTTCTGAACCTGACACGAATTGCTGCTACCTTTGAATCTGGCTCACTCTGGGGCCTGGTAAACCATCACTGACAGGACCTAGATACTCATTTGGAAGCAGAGCCACGTGGTTTGCAGGGTTCTGGCCAAAAAATAACTTCATCTCAATCATGTGTCAGAGAGATTAAAAAAAAAAAAATCATTTCGATTCTATTAAAAATTGAAACTATGAGTATAAGCTAATATGTTCCAACTACAATGAAGGTAGAATCAAAGAGTGATTGAGTAATGGTACAGCGATCAGAAGACTTAATTAACAGGACAGACCATCAAGTTGAGACATTCTTATTCAGAGTGTTCTTACTCTTTTTGCCCAGCCACAGTCCTTCCACAAGGCTAAGTTTTTATAAAAGCTCTGGTTTGACATGATTTTATTTAACAAGAATAAACACCTACTCATTTTAGAACTACTCGGTATTCAAATGGCACAATTCATAAGCACAAGTAAGATGACCTTGAGCAGAATTTCTAGCTTTTCTCTAACAACCGTTAAAACTATTTTTAGTTCCACTTCTCATGCTATGCCTTATAACTGGAAATATTATACAAGTCTAGATCTCAAATATTTCATGCTTCATTTAAAATAAAAGAATTTTCTTAATAGCAGGGGATTATTCTTAACCATATAAAGATACAAGATGATTCATATACTTTAAAAAATGACAAATACAAACAATTTCCAGTTGACCTATTCAATCATTATACAATAAGCTTTCTGCCTTCATTTTACACAAATCCTGTAACTAAAATTTTTATGTTCCAAGACTATAATTTTCATATCCAGGTACCAATTTGAAGGCCTTACTCCCCTCCTGCCACTAGTTCCCACCACCCATCACTCTGTTTATCACACTGCAGCAGTAAGATGGAAAAATGAAACTATCACTACCAGAAACAAATTAAACCACCACAGTGTGCTAGCCTTTTTCCAGGCTTCAATAATTGCACATTACTGGATGTAGAGGAGATTAATTCTATTTCTTTCTTTCTCTTAGTAAAAAGTTTGTTCTGCACTCTCAAGTGATGGCTTTTTGTTTTGAAGAAAAGCATGGAGGCAGGAGCTTTAGTAAAGAAGAATCTTTAGGTCTGCTCTTCAGTGACCATTTGATAGTTTAATATTTGAATATAACATATTACAGCAATTAGACACCCTAAATCTCAAAAAACATTTCCCTTTTCAAAAATAAGATGCATACTGGAACCCCACTAACCTGAAAGGGCTACACCAAATCAGAAATCCCTGCTGTTAGCTCATGACTGTCTTTGACAGATCTAATGAAAAACAAGGTTTAGTTTTCTTTCCATGATCTACCTTTTCCTAGCAAAAATGCCGAGTTTAACATACAGACTGTTACTCGAACCTGAGCCAGTGCTCTTTGTGTTCCTCTACTATATATGAGCTTAAACTTCAGTTCAAAGCAGCAAGAGCCAAGTGAATCAGAACAAGGTCATTTATCACATTTATTGCTCTTCAAGCTTATTACACTTCCCTGCTGTACTTCTAACAGGAGACAGGTCTTCAATGATCTCAGTATTTATACATGAGCTCTTCACAGTCCAGAGGGTTTTCTGCAATACACATGTCCCTCAGATGGCAGGAACTGTCTGTAAGACACTAGAAGATGACTTACTTCATTCACTGCACCACGATCACTTTGGTCTGACCACAAATGCCTTTTAATGGACACTTCAGCACTAGTGGGAAATAAACAAATTGTCTACAGTCACATGGCAAGAGAAAAGGAAAAGGTTCTTCATCTCCTTGCCATGTCATTAGGCCCGCAAAAGCATCCTACAGGGTTTACTTGCCCATCTACAAATTTTCCTTTTTCTGGTGTGCTGTACTGGTGTAATAGCTCCAGAAAGTATTATACTTGGATTAGCCTGCACCTTCCCAACACAAGAGCTCAGTAGGGAATGCAGAAGAATGAGTGAAGGGATCTATCTCCAGCTTCAAATGCTCCTGCCAAAACACACAGCAGCTCAAAGAACTGATTGCCAGCTTATTAGGGGAGTGGGCTGGGGAAATAAAGTGACAATCTAAATATTAACTAAGAAAAACTAAGAAATTGCCTGTTCCCAAGTAAACTTCCCAAACCAAGTATATGAAATTATATGTAGAAAAAGGAAAACACAGAAAAGGGAAGACTTGTGCAAAACAGTGCTTACCAAACGTCAGGAAACAAAGAGTACAAGCTCTCTTCCCAAAACAAAGCTTGACAAATAGCTGGATAAATATACGTTAGGAGGAGTCCTCCTCTAGACAAAGATGTAAGGCTGTGATTGTTAAAGCCAGCCATTATTCTAGCTAAGTCCACCTACAGCAATACCATATAAAGCCAAAGACAGGGTGGTTGTTTTTTATTTGGGGTGGAAGAGTCAGGGGGGAGGTCTGGCACTCAAAAGCCTCACACAAAAAAAAACCCCACAGTAGTAATGAATCATACGGATAAGATTATTCTTATGGGAGAATACACTTTCCTCCTCCAGTGATGAGATCATATGGAAAGCTCAAAAACCATAGAAAACTGAACCCTAACAGACATCGCTCTCTGGCCCAGATGGAAAGTGTTCATTCTTCCACATCCCAAATTCTTAAGCCCAATACAAAGTGACACAGTGCACAGTCTGCTGACCTAAGCCTTTTTTCGATCCCCCCTTCTCTTCCCCAAAAAGTGGATGCTTGGTTTTTCTCTCTCAAGAGCTAAAAAGATAAACAGATCTAAACGATCACGCTCCTATGGAACACAGCACAATTGCACCCACAGAAAACATCATTTAAACACACTAACAAGAGTAAGGAAAAGCTGGGATTGCTCTGGTTCTCAAATTGAGTATTTTTGGCAGTGATCTAACAATGAAGTTCTTTGAAAATCATATCCCACAACCACTTCTTCTGGTGATTCAGGGTTTTTTTGCTATGTTCTCAATTTACAGAAACATAACAACATGTTCTTAAGTGTGCAGTCTTTGTGGGACAGAAGGAATGGAAAGAGACGCTGATTCATCAAACGCCTGTTTAGGATTTTCAAACCATGTGGCACAAAGCTAGAAAGAAACTCCAAATGTTTCCAACACTAACATCTTAA